TAATCTGTCTTACACTCTCACACTTTGAATAGATGTTTTGCCCTGCATGATTTTGTAACTTTAAGCACTGGTCAGTTGGCAAAATACTGGTTCAGTGAGTTAGAAGTATCTTCCAAAGGTTGATGCAGTTCATTACATAATATTGAAAACATTGCTTTCATTACTATCACCACTGATCTCATTAGGAAAGTCTTCTAGGTATTCAGAAACCACCAAGTTAACAGTACCAAAATTCCAATTTTGGTTTGCAAGCTCAAATCGCATCATTGGCAACAAATACTAATATCAGTACCTTTGCTTGATGTAAAAAGTGCACCTCATTCATTTCCCAGATAATGTCTACAAAATAGCCCCAAACCAAATTATCATAGATTGTTTGTCAGTCATCATTTCAAGTAAAGACGGTTCCATGAACAAAAGTGGTTAGTTTAGCTGGTAGGCCAGTAGCACAAGTGCTTTTTCTGAAGATACAGACCATTTAGTGTCTCTGCAACCCTCCTTCTTTCCACCTCCCATGTCAGGCATCACTCGTCAATTATGGCATTCTTGTCCGGCTGAACCGAGAGGCTGTCTGAGACTCTTTCTCAAAACCATCCTTCTTGTAAATGGTTCTTAGGACACTTCAAACTAAGAATGGGCTGCACATTGGAATCACCTGGCAGCTCATAGAACAATTCTAGTGCCCAGCAAAACCACCTGCTCCCCAATTTCATTTCATTGAAATTGTGTGGGGTCCAGGCCTAGGCAGATGGTATTTTAAATCTCCCAGATGATTCTAATATGCACCAGAGTTGAGAACCATTGGTCTACGTAGAATTCTAAATTTCTGAAGATTTGAGAATTTGCTGATTTAGGAAATGTGGATTTGGTCCTACAATCCATTTTTTTCCTGTCCCCTCTCTTTTATGAGTTCACAGAAGTAATAGGAAATAATATACTCGGTTGCCTGAATGAAAATATTTTATTTCCAGGGCATATGGTATTGTTGATGTAAACATTATCTTTCTTCACAGTGGAACTCTCTGAAGGCTCTGCTCACACCAGAGATACACTTTCAGAGGCCGTTAGAAATGCAAAGCCAACGGATGTACTGTTGGTAATGCTCTTTTAATGGAACTTCTCCACAGTGACA